TGTATTCAGACATTCATTTACTGTTTTTCATGAGAAAACCATGAGATCATAGAATGATTTAGGTTGAAAACGACCTTAACTACCATCTGGTTCCCCCCCCTGCAAATGGGCAGGGCAGATCTGAAAGTGGTTTTGCATTTTATTCATCATTCTCTCATGATAATTCTTCTCATGAAACTTGCCTGATAGATTTGCCTTCCCTGCAAGTGAAGAAAATAAGCTTTGATTATATGGAAGGAGAGCCAATCTTCTCGGTGTCTTCTGTTCCAAATATAATAACTTAAGGGAATGAATAGCTTCTTCTATTCCTATGTTTTCCACTTGTAAGGTAGAAGTCATGCTCATTTGGAAGGTATACTAGGACAGGTATCCCTGTATACTACTTTTGCAAGACATAGGTGTATTTGAGTTAGATGGAGAAATATATGAATAAAGGGATTTTGAGAAATGGCAGAATAAGAAGGCATCAGGAGGCTATTGCAGGGAGAATTTTATATGCACAAATTGTAGGGGCATTAAGGTGAAATATTTAAAAGTTGGAAAAAGAATCGGAACTGAGAGATGACCAATGCACAGATAAATATTATTTTTTTCCCTAATTCATAGCAGAAAGATCACAGTGATATGTAGATGTTCCAAAAGAATAAATTTGTAGATTTTTCTGTGAGCATGGGGTTGTAGACAGAGTTGAATGACAGACCTACATGTTGTTCTGTAATGGTAAACCTGTCAACAACAAAGATGGTTAGATGTGGACTAGAAATAGAAGAATACTTGGAGAGCAAGATATCTTAATGCAAAAAGGAAAGAGGAAATGACTGACATCAGAACAGTGGGAGACCCAGATGAAAACATGGAGAAAAACAAATTGAAGAAGCTAGTGGGGAAGGTGAAAACCAGACAGAGAACATAAAAAAACCTGAAATACAAGGTGTGAAGAAAATTTTGTATTTTCTTCCTATTTGGAGGCTAGTGGATTAAGTGGGGTGCTAGATTAATCTGGGCTGGAAATTTATTTATGTGGTGAAGGAGATATTGGTTGCATTCTGGCAGCTCAAACTGGAGGGAGATGCATCTTGGGAAGTGTCACTGAGGGCAGTATAAGCATTTCAGTGGAGTGGGGCAGAACTGTAATTACAGAGTATGTAAGAGAAGAGAGAGGGAATTAAGAGAGCTACAGCAAACTACATATTTGAAAAACATGATTTAAGACAGGAAGGATGTAGTATTTTCTGCAATGAGATCCACTGTATTTGGAGCAGGGGATATTGAGAGATAAAATATGGCTCTTCATATTATTAGCAAGGCTCTTCAGGAAAGCATTTGGCTACTAGGGAAAGTATTTGTTTATTCTGCCATACTTTCAGTTAGAGTAATGTAGAAATAGTTAAAATTGTTTATTTCTGTTGGAATTATATATACGTATTTTAATATAGCTGAAATACTCTGTTGTTAGTACATACAGTTTTTGAGGGAAAACTAATTAAAAGATGAGTTTCTAATAGTGACAGCTGAAGTAGGATAGCCTTCCAGAGGTAATTCCCTGACAGTAATTTCTATGAAATCTTTTTGTTCCCATGTCGATACCTGATGGTCTTTCTGTAAAGGCAAACTGACACATTAAGAGTTTTCTGTCAAGTGCACAAAGGAAAGAAATAGAAAAATTACACATGGTGTATTTTTTTCCAAGTTGTCCTGTCATAATGATGCTAGGTGCTAATTGAAATGATATGATGTACAATATTGTGAGGCAAAAATGTGATTTTAAAGTTAATGATGTTTCTTCTGGAGTTGGGAGGCTACTGGGGAAAACATGGATAGGACTTTACAGTCGCTGGAAACAAGACAAAGGAAGCCTTGGGAGAATGTCTAATTTGTCCACCTGGCTGAAGGTCAGTTAATTAACCTATTTTTTAAAAAAGTCCCCAATAGTTAAGATTACAGTCGCTCACAGAATGCAGCAGTTGTTATCTTCATAAAGTTTTTGCTTAAGGCTTAAGCTAGATCTTTATTGTTTTGGTTTAACTTGTTTGAGTTCTTGTTCTGCTCATGGTACTTAGAAGAATTACTATTCTCCGGTTGAGTACCACATTTTCAGTATTTGAAGGCTGCTGTCAATTTTTTCTTGATTGAATAGGTGTAGCGTGCTGGTTTCAGATCTGAAATGGAGATATTGGAGATATAATGGGGGCTTATAAGGATGCTGGGGAGGGACTCTTCATTAGGGACTGTAGTGATAGGACAAGGGGTAATGGGTTAAAACTTAAATAGGGGAAGTTTAGATTGGATATAAGGAAGAATTTCTTTACTGTAAGGGTGATGAGGCACTGGAATGGGTTGCCCAAGGAAGTTGTAAATGCTCCATCCCTGGAGGTGTTCAAGGCCAGGTTGGACAAAGCCTTGGGTGGCGTGGTTTAGTGTGAGGTGTCCATGCCTATGGCAGGGGGGTTGGAACCAGATGATCTTAAGGTCCTTTCCAACTCTAACTATTCTGTGATTCTATATAGTGTATCTCAGGGTGCTCTGGGTGTGTAAGTGCCCATTATGTTCCATGGAGGTGTAGACCTGGAGTGAAGCCTAGAAAACTTGCTTTATAGGCCAAAGAAATGGGTGGGAAGAGCAAGTGAAACAGAATTTCTTGATAAATTTATTGTTGATCTTGGAGAAGGCTTTAGGGAGATCGTAGAGCAGCCTTCTGTACTTTAAGGGGGCCGACAAGCTGGAGGGAAGCTTTTTACAAGGGCCTGTAGGGACAGGACAAGGGGGAATGACTGTAAACTAACAGAGTGGAGATTGAGATGAGACCTTAGGAAGAAGTTCTTTCCTGTGAGGGTGCTGAGGCCCTAGCACAGGTTGCTCTGAGAAGCTGTGGCTGCCCCATTCTGGCAGTGTTCAAGGCCAGGTTGGATGGGGCTTTGAGTAGGCTGATCTAATGGAAGGTGTCCTTGCGTGTGCTAACAGCTTGGAGCGAGATGACCTTTAAGGTCCCTTCCTACCCAAACCATTCCATGATTCTATGATTTACCAACTGCATTGCCATACTTGGTGTATCACAGACATGCACCTGATGGACAAGACAGATATAAATTAAATGGTTTACAACTGGCAGACATTCTCACCTAGCCCTCTCGTTGGGCTTTAGTCTGCTCTCCAAAGACCTTTGAGAAATGTGAATTTTAAAGAAACACTTTTAAAACTCCAGGGCTTTCTGAGCCTGAGAAACAAAGCATGCTCCTGTGTTAGACTGAGGAAGAATATTTTTCCCCCTTTTTTAGCCAAGTAAACTATATCCCTGAATCAAACCATAGGGAAGATCTAATCAGTAAGTCCCAAATAACAACTTATCCCTGAAATATCTGGGACTCTATATGGTGTCTCTCATCAAGAAAATGGTAGTATCCATAGACATATAGGGAAGTTTTGGTGTTTTTTTCTGGATAATCAATTTTGGTCATTAATGTAATGCATATGTTTTAAAAAGTTGGCATTTTGCCTTGGCAAATAGCTTGAAGATTAAAGATTTATTCCTGTAATTCTCCTGTGAATTCTCGTCATTTGGAATATCTTGAATGAAGTTCCAAATGTAATTTTCTATCCTTAAAGTCTTAAAATATACCCAAAATTTTTCCACCAAGTTAGCTGTTAATGCTGAGCCATTACTCCTATGAAAGCCACAACCAGAACTTGTGCTTTTGAATTAGCAGATGACATCACTGGCATCTACGGATGTGTGGAGATTGCTAAGGATTTTTTGTGTATTAGCTGCAATCAGATTTATTATGAATTTTCAGTTGGTTTTTAGTAATGCTAGAATCGATAGGAAGTAGTAGTTTTCAAGCTGGAGTTTAGAAAGTTAAAATGTGCATTACTTTTGAATGTGATCTTAATTCAGATCTAGACGTCTCCCGCTCCTGGCATCTTCCCATGATTCTCGTGAGGAGAGAATAAAACATATTATTTTAAGGAGTATTTGGTGCTTATTAAAATTACACATACGCCCGCCTTCAAAAGAGTCTTGATTTACTGCAGGTTGTTCATGTGTCGCATGCGGACATTTTTAGAGAACAGATTTCTTATCACTGTGAACAGTGAATGGCTTCCAGTGCTCCACGATCAGTGAGCAAAAATGTTATATCCATTGTAAAAGGTAGGAAACCATGAAATCTATAAGCCGATTTGGCAGAAGAAGCGGTTGTTGGTGCCAAGATTTGGTTACTGACCCACAGTTTCCTGTTTTTAAATATATTAATTGATTCGCAAAGAGCATCTTTTGGAAAACAAGAACTCAGACAGACTGGCACAGGCTGGAGCTCCGCCAAGACTGCTCGGGAAGGTTGCCATGCTGGGAGCGAGAGAGTGAGAGAGCGAGCGAGCGAGAGAGCGGAGGAAAGAAAAAAAGGCAAGACTTGGCACGGCTCAGTCAAATCAGCTTCTTTTGTCTGCTTTCTCGGCTTGAGCTTCAGGAAAGAAAACCATCCTGGGGTACAGAAAAACTCAGAACTTTTTGGTTTTCAAACTTAGATAGCTTTTTAAGTCTCTTGGGCTGTTTGAAAGTGGTGGTACATTAAATGACGTTCAGTTGCCAGTGGTAAGAGAAATAAAAAGACTTCTTTAATGAAGCCTCCACAATGTCAGTTTATACATATGGGAAATACGATATTTGATTTTTATAATTTTTTTTTTTTTTGTATGCTGAGTAAACTGTAAGAGAGCCGAGTAACTTGGAAGATTACAGGGGGAATGCCTAAATAAAAGGGATAATTTTCATTTTTTGCATGAAAAAAAAAGTTTTCATCGACATGAACATGCTTGAAAACCAAATCTGACCTCTTTCGGAATATGTTCAGAATGGGAATTTCAGCATTTCTCTTATATATGCTACAGATGTGAACTTTTAATGGAACCTCCTTAAAGATATCGTCTGAGCCAGCAATGAAGTGAGAGTAGAAAGTTGTGGCATCTTAATACAAAAGTAAGTATGTTCTTAAAGCAACAATATTTATTTGTGCTGCTTCACACTGTCCTTGCTCCATCTCCCAGCTATTAGTGACAACACTGAAGACCAGCAGGGCAAGCCGAAGACACCCAGACTACGCCTGAAGGGCACAAAAAGAAAGGAGAGCATGGTTGCTTTGCTGCTGCTCTAAAATATTTCTTCCAGTGCATCTTACTAGAGAGGGTGTGAAATTGATGAATTTTCTACATTTAGAGGAAATAAGAGATAGAAAAATATTGACTTCTGCCAAGTGAGGAATGTTTGAAGATGACAGAGCTGGATTTGAACTGATGACACTGGATACAGAAACTTCAATTTATAGTTACAGTACCTGTTTGCTGTAAATTGTGAAAAAATCTGCTCTTTTCTCATACGTGGATTAAACCAAAATATGTGACGACTGAGGCGTGGATGTCTTATGATTTCAATAAAATTAAGGACCTAAAAATCCACTGTTTGTTTTCTCCAAGGGTGCCTGGATTTTCACTGAGACAGATACCTTATTCCTGATTTCAGAGGTACAAATACTAGCATGCTACCTATTAGGCCTGGATGTGGTTGGATTATACTTCTGCTGTGACAGTCAGCATCATTATATCAGAGAGTAACTGTAATGCATAGATTTTTATGGATCGTCTTCACTTATAGTAAGTATTATACTATCCTTAAGGAATAGATTGTTCAGCCTTTAAGATATGCAATTTCTGACATGCTGCAGAAGTACATTTCCCTAATTCTTATATGCTGAAAGAAAGGGGGAAAAAAAAAGGAAGTAATGAAAAGCATTTTGACAGGAATGTGTTTGTATTTTAACTGTACATCATGGCATTTTGATTACTAGACTACTAGAAATAACTGTTCTTTTTGATTATGGAAAAGAACTTGGGTTACTTAATATTACATTAAATTGGTTTCATAGCAAGATATGTCATATTTTTACTACATTAGTGAGCCTTTTGATAGATACTGGAGTTAAATAGTGGGTAAGATGCTGTTGTGATTACCATTCGATGCACTGAAACCTTTTAATATGGTTTGTTAGTGATTTTTGTAGAAAATGCCTCCATCATGTTATTATAAAAACAGCAACCCTATCTTTCAAAATCATTAGAAAATATATTCAACAGCTACATTCTCAAATAGTGATTCCGCAATAGATTGCAAATTGATACTCGGTGGAAAGGAAGTGTTCGGAGGAGTTCAGTTTTGCTTTCTGTGTGGTTAGCTAGTATGTTGTTCATTCCTGCACAGATATTAACATGTGATGTGATCGGGAAAACAGGGAGATGTGATGGGGATAAGTTTGCAATCACAGCTGTGTAGTAAGTTTGTCTCTCTGTGTGCATATTATGAAATTAATTTCCTTTATTTCTTGGAAATAGTCTCAAAGCGTGTGCTATTTTATTTAATCACAACATTTCAAAACAAATTTTTAATGGGTATCCTTATTAAGAGTCAGAAAACAATAGAAAACATTTATCGTGGTGTCTCTAAGTGAAAATAATCTCTGAATATTAAAATAACCATTTTTCTCTCCAGAGTACTCTAGGTAACTTCATAAATGATTTCTCAGGTTTTAAACCTGTTCAACATGTGGGTCCTTGCAGTGCATTTTACAGATAGAAATATTACAAATATTTGGACATATATTCACACTGAAGGTATTTTGAAAGCAGCTACTACAGTTTTGAAAATATTATTTATCTTTGGCATTTCTAGTCAGTACATTTTGGTTTCCTAAATGAGATATCTACCACTGCAGATTTCTTTTGGCCTACATAATAAACAAAGTATTTTTTCTTTCTGCTAAACCCTTCACTTTTACAAGTCTACCTAAGTGCTTATTTGTGGAAAATACCCCAAGTTGGCAAGTTAAAATCAAAATTGGGATTGCAGGGTTTAAATGGTTGGTTCCAGAATGTTGATTGAATTGCATGCTAATGTAATTTGTGAGTGTAATTTGACATGGTTTATGATATTTATATATTTTTTTACAAACTGTATAATAATCTGGAGTTTTCTGGATACTTTAATCAGATTATTTATTATCATCATTCATTTATGGTCTTTATTGGCTAAGTTTAGTAACTTCATAAACAAACAGTTTGTGTTTAATTCTTGATGAATCTATATATATATTTTGGATTGGATTGTGCAGTTTATTAAAGTGTCATACTGTGATGTGGAGGTGAGGATTAGACATTAGGGTTTAACTTGATTTTTCTAATTGAAGTACAGAGGCATAATATTATTTCATGTAGGAGCATTGAGTCTGGTGCTGTAGTAGGCCTATGTCTGATCTCACTTGTATGTACTAATAATATATAAACCAAGGTTTATTCTTCTTTTCTTACTAGTATCAAAGTAGATTAGGATCAAAATGAGACCGTAAAGGCTTAGGTTTTGCTTTTTATATTGATACTTGTAAACCATTTTTTACGCAGTTTTGAACAAAATTTGAGCGAGCGCTTACTATGAACCAGTATGTTTATTGCACAAGGAGGGTATGTGCAGTTCTCAGTGTGACTATGCATTTCTCCTAAATATGGCTGTAGGATAATAATATAAATGTTAATACAGTAGTGTTTCCCTCTTATCATCTATACCTTATCATAATTTAGCATAAATTACTTTTCCACTTGTTCATGAAAACAGACGTAGACTTCTTCATTTTACTTAAAATTGTTTATCCAGTATTATGTGTGCATGTCCTGGTTATACTTCCAACACCACAAATTGGCATAGTGGGATTGATTTTGGTGGAATTCCACTCCTTTATTCCAGCTGGGTCTATAGGTTACAGTCTTAATCTGTGCAATAGAAATTTTGAGCAAAATTGATAGCATTTTGTCCAGTGTAACTGTTAATACAGCATCTAAATGATTTAAGTAACTATTGTAATTATTGTGGAGGAATAAACAATTTTAGAAGGTGGTTTAGATGACTGTCCTGCTGGTTCCGTGAATCACTCTCTTTACTGACCTTAAAGGTAACCCAGGGCAGCGAGCTTAGACTGAGACAGCTGACATTTAATTGTCTAAGTTTGAGGAAGATCAGTTAAATACTTAATAAGGTAATGTAAAAAAGAAGAGAGTTTTAAAACAAAAAATAGCATTGTTTACTTGTACAGGCTTGTGCGCCACTACAATGCAGTATTTGCTATATTCAATGTCAAAGTTAAGAAAATAGGGCAAGTGATAAGAAGATGAAAATACTAATTTGTGATAGTTTTAAATTGTCTTAAGATAACTATTGTCTTCTGTGTTCCCATTTATTTTATAGATAAGGAATAATCCATGCTGTTTAGGGCGTGACTGACTCTGATGATCTTGTGGAAAATACTGTAGAAATGATAGAAGCTCCTCCTCTTGATAGTTATGGACATTTGTATTTTTCTAGTAGCTTTGTTATTAGCAAGTTACACCTAATATAATCTGTTTCTCTGAGTCACTATAGCAGTTTTTCCATATTTGGCTGAGTCTATGCAATTTTAAAATATTTGTATCTTCCCTGAAGCAGACAGGGAACCGTCCCTAATGTAGTTAAAAGCTCTTGTGGTCTTCACCTTGTCTTGGGTGTTTCCTGTCCTCTTAGGGTCACAAAGATGCCACTTACTGTGGGTAGAAAAATTGGTTGGCCACCTTCTCATCTAGGTCATGGAGATACCAGGATTGAAATGTGGGCCTATTTTGAGTGTTGTTTTCATTACAAGGAGATGAATTATAGGTCTTGTACGAAATTCCCTTTATTGGCCTTTCTTTACATTTGTTAAATTGTCTATTTTTTTGTAAGTAAGTTTTACGAGACTGAGCAGAGCGAGGCTAGCTTTGTTTTGTTGTCTTAGTATAATGAAGGTCAACTTTCTGGGTCTGTTTCAGTTTTAAACATGGTGAAGACAAAGGCACTTGAATCTTTTATAGTGTTTTAAACTGGAGAGTGACTTTTGTATTTGCTACCTCCTAATAAAAATGTAACACCCTTCTCTTCTGTATTTTTTCCTGTGAAGGTAAAAGATACCCTTGAAGGTACTTGGTGACACTTGTTATGTTTTCTGTTTTCCTAAGTATTTTGAAATGGATTAATTTGATTTTGTTTCTATTTTTTCACACACGATATAGTTTTCCCAGATCTGCATGAGAAGATATTCTGTGCTAAATAGTTTGAAGAGAGTCTATGAATTTCTTTTTCAAAAACCAGCAGCTCACCAGAGGTTTACATTGATGCTGTCTTCATTCTTCTGATAGTAGTGGATAGGAAAACATTTGTTTAGGGAAATGGGATACAATCTGTGGGAATATCTGGGGAGTTGAGGTGCCTAACAGCAGTATATAGTGCTGCTTTAGACATTCTAGGCTGCCTGAGATACCTTCATGGAATTGGCAGGCATGACATAGGGTATATAGGAGAACTGCAGTCTTCTGCAGGTACAGCTGAAGCCAGGTGGAGGCATCTGAAAAGGTATCAGGTATTTGGAATTACTTTCTTTTTTATCACTTTACTGATGAAGACTAAAGACATTTTGTAGAGATTCTTTTTCCATTAAGTATTTGATCTGTGAAGTCAGATTGTGTAATGCAAAGGGCGAGGGCCCTACAAATAATGTAATGACAAGAGATCTTGTGAGTACAGGATCAGGATCCCTTGCAACATGTCCTCTTAGTCTTACATTTTGGGATCTTAAAACAAATCTTAACACTTGTTCAAAGGTCTTTTTTCTTTCTCTCTTGAACCTGTCTTCTCTAATCTCTGAAATTTTAAGTTCTAAGATGACTGATTTATTTTAGTTGCTTTAACTTATTCTGCTATGTCTTCATTCTTCCCTATTTCTTAGGGATTGAACACTGAACAAATCCCTTTTTGAGAAAAGGACTTTTCTCAGTAAGGGACACAGGGTTACTAAGGTATCCTGTCACTACCTATTTCACATGAAGAGTTAAGATGAAGGGATCAGACAAAATCATCAAGGAGACCCTCCTGTTGAGTCATGAGGTTCCGAAAGGAGCCTCTTGCTTTCTGAACTCCTCAGAGTCCAGGTGTGGCTGGATCCAGACTTAGTCTCAGACGTGGTCAGTTGTTTATGTCTAAAGGATTTTATATGTGCAATCAATCCTTTATATCACTTAGCTAAGATTTCAGAGTTTAGCATGCTGTTCTCACTAACTGAGAATCTGTTGCAGCAAGGAATCTCCCTAACCTCAAGGAGTAACCTTGAGAAGTGTCCCTGCTCAAGGGGAGATTCTGGCGTGTAGCCCACTGCCATGCAGGAGAGCTCAATGGCTGGCCACTGTTTGTGAAGTGAGATAATTTAAACTCAGTCACATTTGCGTGCTGTCTACAGAAGTTAAGGTTTTTTTTAAACTTGGGTCAGACCGTGACCAGGATTTTGGTTGGGGTGGTGGTGCACGTTGCTCAGTTTATCCTTTGGTTATTATCTGTCTCCCTTGAACCCACTTTGAATAAGATGCAGCCATGACAACCAGATGCATCCATTACCACCACCACTTGTGGCTATCACTTGAACAGAGTTATGGGAAAAAGAGGTCATGCTAGGGAGTGGGGAAACACACTGTGACTTGCTCATTCATTGCTGATTAGGAAAGCACTTCTTTCTAATCTTCATAGATGAGAAGGCAGGAAGGATTTCCAA